TAATAATTTGTGTGCGACAGCTAAAGGATTATTGCAGTGCTCGCACTCTGGGGCTTCCTCCCTGCGCAGAAGGTGGCCATGGGTGAGGTGCGTATGCCCTATCCTTAGCCGACACAGGACAACCTCATAAAAGCGTTCACGGTGTCTTGCACTCTCCCACTCACTAAGCAGTGGCTTTACAGTATGCAGCTTTTTATTTACTTCTTCATCCCATTCTTGCTGCCACTTCTCTCTTATACGATGCCTTAAAAGTCTGTGATAGTCTTTATGTGGAATGTCATGCAGTTCGACTTCTTTGTTACCAGCAGAACTGGCTGCAGGGTCTACTTCCTCATTACCCGGTATACCAACATGGCTAGGGACCCAGCAAAAGACTATTTTAATGTTCCTTTTGGAAGCATCAATGATTTTATTCTGCAACTCTATGATTATTGGGTGTTTAGAGGTATTTAGTGATGAGAGCGCTCTCAATGAACTGAGTGAATCAGTATACACAACTGACTTCATGCTCTTCGTTTCTATAATATGATTAACTGCCAGGCGGATACCACATAGTTCAGTTGTTAAAATAGTAGCTGTATATGCAATTCGTTGAACATAGCGAACAGAGGGGCCAATCATAGCACATCCAACGAACGTTTCTGTCTTGGTGCCATCTGTGTAATACGAGCTGTGACCAGCGTATCTACTTTGGATTTCATAAAATTCCTGTTTGATGCATTCTGGTGGGGTGTCTCTCTTTCTGAACTTAGTCAGTGAAAAGTCACACAAAATGAGGCTATATTCCCACGGAGCTATTGCTTGAGGTACAGGGGTCACGGGCATTGTAGTGCTCAGTCCAACCGAATCAGCTGCAGCTGCATTTCTCATACTAAAAGGCCCCGCCGAAATTGGAGGGGGGTCCCGGACCCCCTGAGACCTCCCAGACTTTAAGCACTGCATTGGACACCCCGGAGACGACGTGCTCGGAGTGATTTTAACTGTGTTCTCGCCCCCTCAGACAGAACCACCAATGCGAATAAGGACTCCATCGCCGCCACCCTTCGTGATGTCATTCGGGACAACAATCTTGGACGTTACGTTACATCCGGTGTATCCCGGGCTTCGCGCCGAGATACACCGGATGGCAAGGAGGCTCCCGCGCAAGGCCCGACCGACTTTACGTCTCCGGTGATCTCATCCCACGTGTCGGCTCGTACTACGTCAAGATGGTCCCGTTCTCGGACCACGGCCTCGTCACTACGGAGATCAAAAGGGGCGACGGCCAAGGGGTCCCTGGAAAATGAATATGGCCATTCTGGACGATGAAGGTTTTTCTACGGAAGTGCGGCGGCCTCTCGAACATCTTGGTGACGCGGTGGATGCCTGCGCATGGGAGGAACTTAAGGGTGAGATTCGTAACCGCGCCGAGTGCTTCTCAAGGGCCAGGGCAGCGGCGGCTAGGCAAAAGGAGCGTGATCTCACCAACACACTCCGCGCTATCCTGGAGGAGGAGGAGCGAAGACCCGGAGTGTTCGCCGAGGACGTGAAGTACTGCAAGAAGCGCCTCCTGGAGCTCCATAAGGAAAGGCTAAAGGAAGCGCAGGTGAGGAGCCGAGAGCGGAATCTCGAGGGCGAGACGCAGCCCACGAAGATTTTTCGCACTTTCGAGAGGAAACGTACCGAAGCCAACCACATCTCCAGCGTCAGCCTCGAGGGTCATCACGCAAACGGCCAAGAGGAGGTCGCCGCGGCGTTCCAGCGGCACTACTCGGATCTCTTCCGGAAAGAGGAAGGCGTTTCCAGCTCTTATCCAACGCTCCTCCGGGGACTTCCAGTCATCTCAGAGGAATTGAGGGAAATCACTAGCGCACCCATCAGAGAGTCGGAAATCCGGCAAGCAATTCAGAAAATCTCCAGCAACAAAGCGCCGGGACCCGGCGGCATTGGCGCCGAATTCTACAAAAAGTATGTGGACCTGCTCTGCCCCACCCTGGTGGAGGTTTTTCGAGATATCTTCGAGTGCAAGCTACTCCCCCCATCAATGAGAGAAAGTTTAACGGCGCTGATAGCTAAAAAGAAGGTGAACAAATCAAACCAGGCAGTGACCGACTACAGGCCCATAAGTCTTCTCTGCACGAATTATAAAATACTGGCCAAACTTTTAGCGAGAAGGCTGGATCTCGCTCTAGGTGGCGTGATTGGAGAACATCAAGCGTATGGACTCCGACGCCGCTCAATTGCACGAAACCTACACGCAATGCGCATAGTCAGGGAGGCAACAGGTGAAGGGCACCACCCCTTGGCTGTCCTTCAGCTCGATCTCAGCCAAGCGTTCGACAGTGTCCCACTGCTTCCTCCAGGCTGTGTTGAGGGGATGCGGCGTGGGTGACACCATGTGTGACTGGGTGGCGCTGTGCTACAGGAACATTTCGACGAGGCTCTTGGTCAACGGCGAAAGAGGGAGCTCCAGAGGGATAGGCCGCTCCGTCAGACAGGGCTGCCCGCTGTCGCCAATTTTGTTCGCCCTGCAGCTCGAACCCCTGTGCCAGGCCATCAACAGGGATGAAGCTATATAAGGCCTGCAACTTGGTGAGCAGCGGGCGAAGCTTGTCGTCTACGCCGACAACATCAGCCTGATACAGGTCGAAGTTGCTCTTGGGCACGTCGAGCTCTTCTGCCGTGTCTCGGGAGCGGCAATCAATTGACAAAAGTCCGTTGGAGCCTGGCTCGGACAATGGGTCACGAAACCAACAGAATTCGCGGGAATTGCAAGGAGCGAAACTCTGTAATCGTACGGTGGAGCTCCAATTAGAGAACTTGGACCAAGCGTGGAGGTCTGGTGTCAGAAAACCAATGCCATCCAGCCCAAGCTGTCTTCTTGGCTTGGCCGGTGCCTATCCTTTTTTTACCAGGGCGTACGTTTGCAACGCCGTATCGTACCCAGCCATTTTGTATTGGGCTCAGGCTGCCTGCTGTCCCAGCTTCACTGCCAACCAAATTCACCGAGGCTGGGCGCGTTTCATACGGAGGTCGTCCATGGAAAGGACTCGGCGCAGCAACCGTTTTCTGAGCTTGACAGCGGGAGGTATGGGCCTGGTGAACGTGACAGTCGAGCTACACGTGCTGCTGTTTAGAGACAGGCGCGACCCTTTTTTTTTGCGCCCTTCATCACCTCGGCCTTCCGTACCTTGGAAAGTGGATGGCAAGCACCACGGGGCGTACAATCAAGGGAGCAGGTCTGCGTTTCTACGCCGAAATTGCCAGTTCCATTGAGTTTTTTTTTAGGTTCATTTCTCTTGGGAGTATCTGATGACGGCGAGTCGCAAGAAACTGTACTCGGATACGCTGTAGGTCCTCCTCCCAGCGCCCCTCTACAGGACGGTTCCAGCCCCTCAGTGTGCGTCCGGACTCTTCAAGGAGGTCCGCGAGCTCCCAGTCCCGGCGACAGGCAAAGACTTTCTTCGTCCGGCTTCACCTCGGAGTACTGCCGGTCAAGGTGTGGCTGGACGACAGGGGGCTTTTTGTGCCATGGTCAACCATCTGCGACTTATGTGGCGCGAATGAGACACTTCCACATGTGTTTGAGGAGTGCTCCAACGCCTATCTCTTCTGGGACGAGATGAGGAAGGATCTCGGCGTGGACTTTCCCATAGACTGGCACGTCTTTAGATTCCTGGACGTTGAGGGGACAGATACGGCTTCATCCATGGTGCTCCCGTCCATCGTGTTCCTGGGACTCCACGCCATCTGGCTAGCCCGCTCGGCCATGGTGGAATGCCACACCGATGCCAGGCCGAGGTGGGACTATCTTACCTCCCGGTTGAGATGGCTTCTATCCATCACGGCCCGTGGCATGAACCAGGTATGCCAGGAGTGGAGAGCAATTGAGGAAAGGCTGGAGGCTCGGCGACTCCGACATCAACGCATTCGATTCGGCGAGCGTCGGAGCCGCGCCCACCGCTGCTAGCAACCGTCACACCATCTAGGGGATGACGCGCCGGCGGCCACATCCAAAGACTGTCACCCCTTTCAGGCACATACATAGCAACCAGCACCCCCTCCCCTTTTCCCCTTTCCGTTCCAACCGCTAACCGATTTGCCCAACTCTGATGATCATACGGCTCATACCCTGTAAATTATTTTAAATAAACTGGCGGAAAAAAAAAAGCCCCAGTAGCTCAGTGGGGTCCCCAGTGAAGCTTTTTTCCAAACATTTTTGAATGTCTACATTGTTTTTTTTTTTTTTTTTTACAATTATCACTGAAGAAACAAACAAATGTTGTGGACGACACGTCGCTGAATTAAATGGTATAAGATTTTCTTTTTGACACCTGCGAACTCAATGTAATCACTTTCCGTAAAGTGCAAGGAGCATATAAATCAGGTAGCGTCCGCTTTCCGTGGTGCCCGTACATGTTCTACAGGAATTGCAGCCAGCCATTGGTCCCGATCCCGTTGATCTTTCGGAAACTCTGTCTCACAATGCCATTTTTTTCGGACGCAGGACATGTGAGCCAGCTCTTCACGCAAACATCTTGAGTGTATTCTTTTCGGAGCCAATCATGGAAGTTCACCACGGGCACTCACCACTCATCTCCAACTCCTGAATGTACAAAACAACTTATCTTGGAGTACAGAACAGCGAGCGGAACAAACATAACTGCAAAAGAATCGCACGCAAACAGTTCCCGCTACGTCGCCACGCATGTCTCCGATGCATGTCGTCTGCTAGGCAGAGGGAAAAAAAGCGCACGGTCGATTGTAGCCCCGTGACTTCCGCCACACCACACTCTTCTCTCCACTTCTCCGATCTCCGTGCGCGGGTTTCGGTTTTGGTTTCGAGCAGTTGCGTCTTTAAGCTTTATTTAAAAAATGCGCTACTCTGTTGCAAAATATTAATTGGGTAGTCCTCCGACACCATAATGAAGCGCACAACAAAAAATAAAAACAAAATAATTTGGGGAAGGTGTCTGTGTCCCTTTAATACTGACACAATACGCAGGTGCAGCCGTGAAAAAAAAGTCAGCGTGCCACTGGAGGCGGCGTAGGCGACGAGCCCCGCGAGATGGAGGAGAGAATAGTGGTGCTACTCAAAGAGGAGTCGGTGGAGGGCATCCCAGGCGCCTTTGACATTGGCGTTGCCCCGATTCAAGAGGTGTTTGTGGGTGTGCCCTTCTCGCTGCTACTCTCGGGTAGGTTTGCACAAGCCTGGATTAAACACTATCTTTCTTCATTATTGGTTTGCCTAGAATTATGTTTTCAAAATATTATTTGCAGCCTAGCATGTGCGTGTCATGTTTGTTGCTTTTCTTGATCAAACTAATCTTTAAATACAAATTTTTAAGGTACTCCTGCCAGGCCGAGCTCAGCAAGGCCAGTTCCCTCACTTGGTGAGTTAAGGACGTGGGCTGATTAGTTGCATGGTTAATGTTCCTCTTTATTACTGCTCTTCAAACAATCCCCGTAACTATCAGTTTTGAATGATCAATCGGATAGCTGGTTATCCAAGTGATTTGGACTGGGAGCCACATTGTATGGACAAGCAGTATCTTACTGTCTTCCCAAAACACTGTTTGGTTGATTGATGGATTGATTGGGGTTTCATGGCGCAAGGGCTACTAAGGCCAAAATGCGCCAAGAGTGGAACTATTGTATAAGCAAAGGTTTGGAAGAAAGAGCTATAGTAGCTGACGATGTAATAAAACTATGTATATGAGATTGCATAAGTGTATACAGGATGAAGGCGAGTTCGGATTACTAATTAAAATCATAGTCGGTGTATAAGGCCGATGCCCTTAAGAAAATTAAACACACAAGCATGCGGAATCAGCGGCTGTTCGCCAAGTAAAATAACTAAGTGCAGTGGAGTATGTTCTTGATATATTTGCGAAAAATTTTTGAAACGATCTTGGTCATATTTCGGGCACTCAAGTAGAATGTGTGATATTGATAGAGGAATGTTGCAACGTTCACACTCTGGAGCATCCTCTTCCACGCAAGAGATGCCCATGGGTGAGATGCGTATGACCAATCCGTAGGCGGCACAATACCACCTCATAAAAGCGTTCGCGATGCCGGGCACTCTCCCACTCATTTAGAAAAGGTTTTACAGCACGCAGTTTATTATGCGTTTCATTATTCCATTCGCGTTGCCACTTAGCTCGAATGCAACACTTCGAAGGGATGTGGTAGTCTTTGTATGGTATTTTTTGCAGGTCTATTTGTCTCTCAGACAAATAGACCTGCAAAATTGCAGAATTTGCAGCACTATCGGCCTTTTCATTACCTGGGATACCGACGTGGCTTGGGACCCAGCAGAAAATTATCTCAATCTGCTTGTACGAGGCAGCGATAACTTTATTTTGTAATTCTAGAACGAGTGGATGTCTAATGCACTTCAGTGATGTAAGTGCTCTTAATGAGCTCAAGGAATCTGTGTAAATAATCGAGTGGCGAAGCCTTTTTTTCGTTGCATAATCAACAGCTAACAGCAGTCCATAGAGCTCAGCTGTCAACATGGTGGCTGCATTTTGGATTCTCTTGATTTGTTTCACAGATGGCCCTATCATAGCACAGCCAACCACAGAGTCTGTTTTAGTCCCATCTGTATACAGACCTACGTACTGTTCATATTGATTTTGTAGCTGAAAGAATTCCTGCCTCATGACTTCATTTGGTGTAGCTTTTTTGGAGTGTTTAGTCAGTGTAAGCTCACAATTAATGGTATGGTAATCCCACGGGGCTATGGTGCTTAAGTATTGAACTACTGGAGGCCTGGGATCTAGTTCTACAGACGCAGCATAATTCATATTCCTAATTGCAAAAGGAGGAACAACGGTTGGTTTGTTTTCAAACGTTCTCTGGAACCTGACGTTTTCGAGGTTATCGCGGGTAGGGTGCTGAGGGACAGAGCGAACTCGAATAGAATACATAAACCCCAGAGCAAACCTCCTATTTTCAAGGGATGGCTCATTAGCTTCTACATACGGACTAAGAACCGGGGAGGTGCGAAATGCTCCAGTAGCCAATCGCAGTCCCTGGTGGTGAATGGGGTCCAACATTTTTAGGACTGATGCTCGGGCAGAGCCGTACACAATGCTCCCATAATCAAGCCTGGAGCGAACAACCGCCCGGTATATGCGTAACAGACATAGTCTATCAGAGCCCCATGATACACGTGATAGGACCTTCAGTATATTCAGCGATTTGAGACATTTAAGTTTTAAGTTCCTAATATGTGAAACAAAAGTCAATTTCGAATCAAATACGAGTCCCAGAGACTTATGTTCACTTTTTGTCGTTATTGGTATTCCATACATTTGTAAACAAGGCTCTTGCAGAACTCCACGCCGGCGAGAAAAACACACACAGGCAGTTTTTTCTGGCGAAAATTTAAAACCGTTTGTGTCAGCCCATTTTTGTAACTTGTTAATTGCCGGTTGGACCCGACGTTCACATATTAAAGGGTTGCAGGACGCGACAGAAATTTGAATATCGTCTACATATGTAGAATATTGCACAAAAGGAGGTATAGCACGGGCAATAGAATTCATCTTTACAATGAAAAGGGTTACGCTAAGGACACCTCCCTGGGGAACTCCATTTTCTTGAAAAAAAACTCCTTGGAGAGGGTTGTTCCCAATCTTACATAAAAAGTGCGACATTGCAAGTAACTTTGAATAGCACTTAGCATTCTACCTCGGACACCAAGACTAAACAAGTCCTGCAAAATTCCAAAACACCAGGCCGTATCATATGCCTTCTCTAAATCCAAAAAAGACAGAAACACAGTGTTGCTTATTTACAAATGCTTCCCGCACAGTGGTCTCAAATCGAACCAGGTGGTCGAGGGTGGATCGAAACGAACGGAAGCCGCACTGATATTTGTCTAGAAGGTTGCTTTTTTCTAGGTAATACATAAGTCTTTTGTTTATCATTCTCTCCAGTGTTTTTGAGAGACAACTCGTTAGTGCTATCGGTCTGTAACTGGAAGCACATGAAGCATCCTTGCCTGGCTTAAGCAAAGGAATGACAGTGGCCACCTTCCAAGACGACGGGAAATGACCCTCCGACCAAACACGGTTGAATAAGTACAAAATGAGATCAAGCGTTGAGGGATGTAGGTGACATAGCATAGTGTAGTGAATACCATCAGGGCCAGGGGCAGTCTGCTTGGGACTATGCAGTACAGCCTCAAGTTCATGTAGTGTAAATGGTACATTATAAGGTTCTTGATTGCCTCCTGAGGTATTTATGGATATTTTCTCAGCATGGAGTTTGTGCCGAATGAAAGCTGGCGTATAATGATCAGAGCTTGAGACAGACCCAAAATGCTCTCCTAGTAGATTAGCTTGCTCCTCAATACTTTCGGGGCAGATTCCTATAGTCAAAAGAGGGATAGAATATGCACGGTAGCAGCCATTGATCTTATGCACTCGGTCCCATACCTCTTTGCACGAAACACTGCTGTTTATGGAAGACGCGTATCCCTTGAAGCTATCTCGCTTAGACTTCCTGCGAATCGACCGAGCGCGAGATTTCATTATCCTAAAGGTGATGAGATTAGTTTGTGTAGGGTATCGGCGGAAAATTCCCCATGCTTTGTTCTGTTTCTTTTTTGCCATGCGGCAGTCGTTATTCCACCACGGTTTTGGTTTTTTGGGAAGATGTGTTGATGTCATGGGTATGGCCATGATTGATGCTTCTAAAATATGCTTGGTGATATGCTCAGTTATGCGATCAATGGAGAGCTCATGGAGAGATGTACACGCTAAAAGGGATGCTTGTTTAAAAACTGACCAGTTTGCTTCGTCAAACTGGTCAGTTTTTCCAACTTCCAACGAGGAGTTCGCATTGGAAGTGTAACCGGTCGCCCAATGCGATTTAAAATTATGGGAAAATGGTCACTTCCAAATGGGTTAGGATTGACCCCCCATGAGAAGAGAAAGAACAATGTTGGGTCACAAAGTGACAGGTCAATGGAGGTGAATGAGCGGGTTGGAGCACTAAAATATGTAGCCTGCGAGTTGTTGAGCAAGCATAATCCCGTAGAAGAAATAAATCGTTCAATCATTGATCCTCGTGTATCACATCTTCCACTACCCCATATAGGGTTATGAGCATTAAAATCTCCAAGGATTAAAACTGGTCGTGGGAGTTGGTCATACAGACATTGAAGTTCGTCCCAAGTTAGAGGATGATTAGGAGGTATGTAAATGGAGCAAACCGTCATCAAGCGGTCAGACAAAACACGAACTGCCACAGCCTCCAATGTAGTATTAAGGGGTACCTCAATACATGGAGTAGATCGCTGAACTATTATTGCTACCCCACCTGAGGTGTGGGAAGAATGGAAACGGTCTTTTCGAAAAACATGGAAGTGCCTTAAAAATCCAGAATGGTTGTGATTCAAATGGGTTTCTTGAAGGCAAAAGATTAATGGATGATGATGGTCTAACAAATAGCACACATCATCATAGTTATGTAGCAATCCTCGACAGTTCCATTGGAGGAGGACTTCTTCCATCATATGTAAGGTGGTATTTTTCAGAAAATGATCTAGCTAAACTTTGTAGTCGATTTTAATTCGAGGTGCATTTTTCTTTTTGGACGTATCTTTCGGCCTACCTGCAGTATCACAGGTGGCCGAGGGTAAGGACTCTGAACTAGAGTGGGGCCTGTCCTCTAGGGACTGGGGCCCGCTCTCGTCCATCGGTTCGTCTGGAGCCGCTGCTGGAAGACCCTTCGGGTCCCCCAGGCCAGGCGGCTGGCCAGGTATACGGGAGCCACCAGTGGCACGATAGAGACCACGGCCTTTAGGTGGCTGGGAGGCAGGGGGTGCACAAGGCACAGTCCCCTGTGGTTGGTTTTTAGTGGATCCCGACGGACCGGCATCCACCTTTCGGTCCGAGGGCGGAGCTGTTAGCACCGCTCCTGCTGAGGTTGAGGGGGACAAAAAAGGGTCACACAAACCGTCCAAGGACGTCTGTGTTCCCGTTGTAGCTCTTAGCCGTGCAGGTCCCCGGCGCACGGCATCAGCATAGGAGCCCAAAGATTGAAACGAGTAGCGTTTGTTGGCCTCTGGGTAGCTGACGTTTTCTTTCGTTTTGATGGTCAAGATCTCTTTCTCCTGCTTCCACAGAAGGCATGCACGTGAGTATGCTGGATGGGGTCCTTTACAGTTTGCACAACACAGTGAGCTCTCGCACACATCAGATACATGATCCGTGCTCCCACATTTTGCGCATGTCTCTCTTCCACGGCAGCTGCGCGAGCTGTGCGAGCTGTGCCCAAACCGCTGGCACCTAAAGCACCTTTGGGGGTTTGGGATATATGGACGGACGCGACAGTTTATGTAGCCAGCCTTTACAGAAGCAGGGAGACAGTGACGCTCAAAGGTGACTATGAGATGTTTTGTGGGAGTTTCTGATCCATCTTTCCGGAACATGATCCTCTTTACGGCAACTACTCCAGAAGAGTGGAGGCCTTCAAGGATCTCTTCTTCGCTGCTGTGCAGGAGGTCGTCCTCAGAAATGACCCCACGAATGGTGTTTAGGGTGCGGTGAGGAGACACTGTGACTTTTACGTCTCCAATGGTGTTCAAGGTGAGCAAAGCAATGCTTTGTTTCTTCGAGTTTACTTCCACAAGCAGGTCTCCGGAATACAGTTTTTTCGCATTATAATCGTCTCCAAGGCACGAGTCAAGGACCTTTGCAACAGCAAAAGGCGAGAGCTTGGACATTGGACGCTGGTCATTTTCTGAATGGAGTACAAAGAACTTCGTAAACATGTCTGATTTAGACTCTTTAGCTATGACAAGAGGTTCGGGGCGCAGGCGCTTGCCAAGTCACCACGAACCGGGTTTTGGTTTAGGAGGGGCAGCCATAAAAAAGGCAAAAAACTTCGGCACCTGTGGCGCACCACCCACCACGGAGTCCAACGAGGGGACAGGCAACACCTCATAACAGTACGGGCTTGTCTGAGAATGCTGCTCTGCCAGTGCTACCAAGACGCTATAACCAAGTGTGGTTTAGACGAGAGTATCTATCGCCACCCAAGGTTAGCCCTTGCCGCCAAAGAAGGGAAAAAAGAAGCAATAGAAATGAGAAAGAATAGAAGGAAACAGGACAAGTAAAAGTGAAAGATCGGAGGGGATAGTAGAAGAAAAGGCGACTAGACTGAATCATCCTGGCCGGGCTTTACCAGGACTCCCGTCTACGAGAAGCAGGGGCCGAAGTGGTGTATTGCCTCACCCGGGGGGCCCCGAAGGGTCCAAACCTACCCCGAGCTCGACTCAACCACCAAGATGCCCTTTTCCTCGGACACGGGAAAGCCACGCACAGCCATACGTGGGCGGGCGAATCCGCATGGCTCGGGGTCCGTGGAGACGCCACTCTCCAAACACCTGCTTTCACAGGTGCCCCCTGCGGGGAAAACACTGTTTGGGAAGACAGTAAGGTTATAATTACATTACCTAATCACAACCTTTTCGGTCGATCATTCAACCTGTAGTAGTAGTAGATTGGGGTTTTGTGGCGCAAAAGCAGCTGAGGCTATGATGTGCCAAGAAATTATACTATTGCAGAAGAGGATTTTGGAGAAGAAAGAGCTCTAGTAGCTGGTAATTTGCAGAATGTATAAAATAAGAGTAGGACCATACATTATAAATAATGCTACAATTTGTGTAAAAGATCAACGCTTTTTAAAAACTTAAAAACCTGGGTGGGTGGGAGCAGTGGCTCATTTCCAAGTAACACACATAGGTGTAAAGGAACATGCTCTTTGTACAGTTGGAAAAAGTAGTGGAGGCGTTTTTCTTCACACGCAGGACATTCTAGAAGGATATGTGAGACACTCAGCGGTTCCTGGCAATGTTCACATCCAGGAGGGTCCTCCCCACGTAAGAGGTGTCCGTGCGTGAGCCGCGTGTGTCCTAGGCGTAGTCGACAAAGGACTACCTCATAAAACCTGTCTCTGTGCCTAGCACTCTGCCACTCACTAAGAAAAGGCTTAATCATGTGCAGTTTGTTTGACACCTGTAGGCTCCATTCTGCTTGCCACTGGGCTTTAACATGGTATTTAATTAGGGCACAGTAATCTCTGTACGGGATGCTCCTAATGTCTACAGCACGGGAGCCAGAAGTGCCCGCAGCACGATCTACCTCTTCGTTCCCTGGGATTCCAACATGGCTCGGTACCCAGCAGAATAGAACATTACATCCTTTTCTGGTTGCCGTTATTATTTTGTTTTGTAATAAAACAACGAGGGCATTCTTTGGGGTTTCAAGCGATGTCAGAGCCCGTAAAGCACTCAGCGAATCTGTATATACAACTGACCGAGAATTACTTGTTTGGATGATGTGATCTACCGCAAGCAGAAGGACATGCAGTTCAGCAGTGAAAACAGTAGCGGACGAATTAAGCCTACGAACACTTCTTACTGAAGGGCCAATCATGGCACAGCCAACAAATGATTCAGTTTTTGTGCCGTCTGTGTAGTAGTGGGAATGAGAATCGTGTTCCTTGTGGAGTTCGAAAAATTCTTGTCGCATGACCTCAGTTGGGGTATCCTTCTTATTGAACTTTGTTAATGAAAAATCACAACGTACGCAGTTAAAATCCCATGGAGCCACCGTCCTTGCAACTGTATTAACTGGGAGCTTACTGTCTATCCCAATAGATTCTGCCAAATTCCTGTTTCTCATCACGAATGGAGGGATAATGCTAGGCTTGTTTTCGAATGTCTTCT